ATGACGAGAAATTTGATTTAAATCATATGTATGCCCTCCCCCATACTGAATAAAAACTGAAATTGCATATAAAAATTAATACATACATACCACACAGGCAGTTATGAATAAGTAAATTAGTTTATATGTCACCATAACCCTTTTTCTTCTCACGAATGTTCTAAACAATAACACTTTTTAACACTTTCAACTTATTCCAGATAAAGAATAAGTGAAGGTAATATTTCAGTCTCAGATTTGTACTCACATTTTTACAGAACAACAGATTACACTAAAACATTTTTAACATTTAATTAGGAATCTACTTTCTCTCAAAAAACAAAAAATTACATAACATATGACACCTGGATATTATCGCAAGAGGGGGAAAATAAAATATTTTGATAGCTAAGAAATGCAATTTTATTTTTTATGTATACATCATAAACAACTCTTAAAAATTAAAATGAACAACAATAAAAATTTTTATACTTACAAGTTCAGGCTCCTTCTCATCTTCAATTTTCTTTTCTTTCTTATCTTTAACATCTTTTGGATCTTCAACGGGAACTTTTATGCGCTCCTTCATAATTACTTTAAATAGGTGTTTCTAAGCTATTAATTCTAAGGGTTTGGAATTACACAATCAAATATATTGTCAGCGAACACTATTGCACTTTCCGCCTTACTGTAAATACACACAGTTCGGATTTCTGTTGAGTTGAGATGTATGCAAAGTAAAATGACAAAGCAAAATTCTGAAAAGTCCTTGCTTATTTTATCTCCGAAAGTAAAGAAATAAATATAAAACTTCACAAAATTGATTGGCAAGCTTTAGAAATTTTCAGCTTAATCCGAATGCTACAAAAATTGCAAAAATTTGTGCATGAGTACACTGGCACGGCATTTCCGCTATGCATATTTTTTTAATTAGACGTAATAACTGGCAAGAAATTGGCCTATTAGAAATTAAAATATAATATGTGTGGGTTATAGCATATGTAGACTTATATATGTGGAATTAAATCATAACAATAAGAATATAAGCCAGATTTACTATAAAATGAACCTCTGACAGTGTGAGGTATTAAAAGTAGGAAGAATAACTAGTGATTAGTGGGAATAGCTGGTAATTGTATTAATCGTTAAATTAGTGAAAATATTTAACAATTATAAAAATTTCAGACGTGATGACTTCCAAAGTATCTATATGAAAAACTATAAACCTTAGCTTTCATCGATAAAGTCTTATATGATAAAGAAACATCTTAACTCATTAGACAACTTTACAAGTAGGACAAATAAATTGGAGCTGCACTTCAAGGAGGTTAGAATAGATGAGTAAGCCTTCCCCGTATGTTCCCATGCAATGAAAATGAAGCCATGATACGTCACGATGCGTGACGTCACGACTGATATGTGTGAGTCGTCAGCCATGTTTTTGCGACCCTTTAGGGTTGCAATTTCGGTTGGGGGGCAATCTTTGGCTCTTTAGCCGTATTAGTTAAAACTTTAATTATTTAACATTTTAGAGGACCTTTTAGAGAATCTTAAGTTCCGATTTTTCGCACTCATATAGAGATGTGTGACTTCTCTCTCTCGTAGTTTTTTAAAATGACGAATTTCTCATATGATTCATGATGCGTTTTTAAAACATTTTCACATATACTTCAAATTCATATATAAGTTACAAAAACTTTTTTGTCAACTTACTTCTGAATTTTCAGTTTATACTTTTTTACATGCATACAATACATGCATAATGTTAGACAACTCAAAATGTACTTTTTGACAAGAGATTTCCCGCAGCTGTATTCTTAATTTCCATGAGGTTATAATGGGTTTGAAATCACGTTTTCATATTTATGTAACTACTTTTCTTTTATAATTCAAGGTAGTTTCATGTATTATATAAAAATTATAAGCCTTTCAATACAGTACTTGTATGATAATTCTTAATATCTTAAACTATACCATTTCAGTACTGATGGAGTTAAGCATATTACTTTTATTTACATTACATGTTAAATTATTTAGAGAACATTAAAGCTGTGGCTACAAATTTGTATGAAGAAAACTTCAGTAATTTTTAAGTTTCTAAAGCTTTTCTGAATCAAAAGTTACTTTTCTAAAATTGTAAGCAAATTTTATATGATAAGTGGATAAATACATGCTGATGCTTTAATATATCTAGCAAGTTCGCATTTTAAACTTCTGAAAAATTTAATAGCTTGTCTGCATAATAATTCTTGTTTTTCATTTTTAATCTACTTCTTGTTTATCATTTTTAATATGCAGTTTGAAGTTTGCTCACATGGAATCGAATGTCTATTATTGCAACAATTTGGTTAAAAATTAAAAATGTTATTTTGTGTGCATATCCAGAAAAAGGTAGCTAAAAGCTTTATGATTTTAAATACTGATTTGAGATATACACCTTTAAATTTTGATGTTTTAGCAGAATGCTATAAAAACTATTTCAATGCTCTAATGGCTGTGGGAATCTATATTTTAAAAATGTATTTTTATATAAATTTAGCAATGTAAAAATTCCATATCAAAAATACTATTTTTGTTCTTTATTTAGCTAAAAAGAAAATTTTAAAAATTAATAAATACACACATAAATAAATAAAAAATAAAAAGAATACCTTTCCACACAAAATTTAGACACTATTTACCGATACATTTGCTATTGAGAAAATACTTTATACAGTACATAGAAAAACTGGTAAATTTATGAATTAAACAAGGGGAAAAAACATACATAAAATTTAAAATTTTAATTTTATATTTGCTTTATATGAGTAGAGAATTTTATATTTGCTTTATACAAATAGTGAATATTTGTTAAATTCAAATTTCATTCCTTGAAGCAATGGCACAAGAAAATTATTAAAATTAATTTAATTTTACTATTTTCTCGTGAAACAATGTTGTTAATATATTATTACACATATCTGAATATTTAATGATAATTCAGTACTCTTCTGTTATCGGGATGGAAATCAAAAATGTATGTATACACACATACATATGCATGGTTCATATATACATACATTCAATATACATCCATATAGAGATTTCTGAATCCGGTCCCGATAACAGAAGAGTACCAATAATTCTATAATTAGTTAATATCCTTATTAATTAATTTGCATAAGTAAAAACAAAAGTATTATTTAGCTTTAAATCTACATCTTTTGATAACAAACATATGCAAAATACTTGTACTTATAGTGAAAATAAAACAAAAATTGTTTATTTTTCACTCTTTTTTTTCTAACACAGTGCAAGTCATTCCATTATAATCAAATTTTATTAAAACACAACTGGATTTTTTCCATTAAAGTCAACACCTTTATATAGAATATACATAAAGTCAACAGCTTTGTATAGAATGATATAATGCTAGACCTACTTTACCTGAAATTTTATTTATATGAATTTATGGGGAAATGCCAGAATAAATGAAAAAAAAAAAAAAAAAAAAAAAAAAAAAACCATCTGAATAAATCTTAGCCGACACTGTTATGATAGTATTTTTGTTTTCAATAAAATGTTTTTAAGGTATACCATTTTAGTTCAGTTTTCCCCCCTATTAAAGGAGCTACCCTAAGAGACATATTTTATTTACATATATCTCATTAATATGTTAAAAATATAGCTTAAGTGAGTTTTATGTGCATACTGTAAGGAAGGGGAAAGCCTTAATTCAAAACCTGTTTTAAAGCAGTAAGTAAATAAATAAAATACATTGCTTTTATTAGCATCTCAAAAAATAGTGTTTTGGCTTCTAAAAACAAATCCTAAGCATCACATCATGATAGATAATAATCTTACGTAAGAAGAAATATCTGATTAGGAATACATTCTTTATATTTATTTGATAAGATCAAAACATATATGCAACATCACATTATGAAAAATCCTGCGAATCATTACAACACTGTAAGACATTGATTAGTAAGGTAAACATCAGTTGATCATTCTTTCACAGTAGCAATAAATTTTTCATTCAAATTCTTAAAAATATGCCAAAACAAATTTACGATTGGTGCTTAAGATTTAAGGTCACACAAAAGTAAATTTGATTTAGCAGAGCTTGATATCTTCCATAACATAAAAGTAACTGCTACATGATGGAAGTTTTTTGTGAACAAAATACAAACATTTTATAAATACTTAACCTTAATGACTAACTTCAAATTAATCCAATAATGATGGAAACAATAATGTAATTGAGTACTGCAAATTTACTTTGTATGATATTTCTATGTAAAATCTGAAATTTATAATAGGTGAAGGACTTTACATTATTTAAACAATGAAGCCCCACTTCTGAAAGCGAGGACTTAGACAAGACATATAGGACATTAAAACATACATTACCATATTATTATATTACTCAAAATTATTACTTTCAATAATACTGTTCTTTTGCTTACTTAATGCATATTCCTATATATATGTAAAATTTAAAATTAAGCAAAAAAGTTATTTTAGTTTAATCCTGATTTTGAACAAACCTCTGTAGACTTTGAAGGCAATCAAATACAGGTTTCTCTTTTTTAGGGGCAAATCTGAAGAAATGAGACCTGTGTCTGATAGGCCTCGAAATCAGTAATTTTAATCAAAAACTATATCAAATTGAGGTTGCTTTTATGCCTCATTTTAAATATGATTATTATAATAAAATACACATTTAATTATATATATATATAACAGCAAAATTTAAACAGTATTATGAATTATTATCTATTAAAAATTTCAATTTTTAATCTATTCTTAAGCACTGAAATTAAAGCTTAATCATATAATGCCTGAATTTCAATATTTTGATTTATTTATAAAACAAATTAGTCCATTTTTAATATGAAACATTTTTTATGAAAACTATAAAACTTAAAAAAAAACATACATTTTAAAAACTGGATATCATTGAATGGTAGTTTGGTAAACCCAATGCCTTTTACATGCTGTGGGGTCAACAGTTGTGTTGGATTAGGCACATTAAACAAGGCTTTAGTTTTTTAAACCCATCTTTCCTAGAACATTCAAACTGGTTTTCTTCAAAATGCACCTTCAAATTTAACAAAAGCATGTATGAAGTTTAACATTAAAATCAAAAACACTAGTATTTAATTACAGTTGCATGTACTAAATGAATTTAATCACACTATTAAGAATGAAATTTTGTGAAAAATTTTAACTTTTATATGAAAATAGGACAAAATTAAGAATAAATAATTAAGTTTATGAAGCTTCCTGAAGGACACAGAATATATTTACCTCACTATACAGAATAACCTAAACAATTTATAATTTATGTTATACTTACCAATTTTTAAGACTGGCGCCAACTGATATATTTGGCGACAATACATCAGAATCAAAATACAGCATAGACCTTTAATACACTATTCGTACAGTAAAATTTAAATAAAAAAACGCCTATTACAATCCCAACCGAGACAAAGTTTACATGAAATATAGAATACAATTTTACAAACAGTATAAACTATTAGCAACAGTAAAAAACAGTATTGGCGATATTTTGCTGCACAAATGCACACACATTCCACAATTGATTTTATATTTGTAAAATCATTTCAGCGTCAATAAGTGACAGCTAAATGAAAGTACACATTTTGAAAAAAAATAATAAGGGAATTTTTCTCATATGCTATGAAAAAATACGAAGCTGCACTTACTTCACAAAAACACGCTCCTGCGACCGAAATCCATTGATCTCGACCAGAAAGAATTACTTCTTCTTCGTCTTTTTTCATTTTTTGCTAAACAAAACATCCTAAAGTTATTTCTAGAATGATTTGACAATTTGGTGCAGCACATCTATCCATATTTCTCAAAATCAGGTCGAAACGATCAACAAAGCAATGCTGAACTAATAGCGAGTAGCAATAAAGTCAGAATAATAGAAATACTAAAATACCTGTTTATGGCATTTACTTATGAAATTAGCTGCGTAGCAGCGGGAATGATTGACATCCTTCACTACATTCACCAATTTTATCTGGCTGAGCAGTTTTAATACAATTATAAACAAAGCTTTCGTCTTATCCGTACGCTACACGGCAGCCATGCTGGCTCATCAGTCGTGACGTCACGCTGTCGATCCTTCCTCGGCTTCAATTTTGTGACGTCATGCTTACTCCATCTCTGCCTGATTGTTGGCTTTGGTTTTTTATGTGTGGCAAGAAATGCTCGGAGATATTTTTTGGAATAAGAATTTATTGAATTTTTTTTTTATTCATAATGCCCCGCCTCGGTAGAGGCAGGCCGCACTGAACGAACTGTTTTAAATATATTTGATTTATATATTTTCTGTGTTCTTCGTAACATAGTGGTACCCTCGGTGGGACCGGGTGCTTTGAATTAGAATTTTCCGATTGAAAACTTTTGATATTGAATTTCGATTTTGAATATACTTTGAAGATGGATTTGATCGCTTTTAAAGGCCCAAAGGAAAAGGACTTAGAATTGCGTTTACGCAAACCTCAAGAAAAACCGAAAGTGATATTAACTAAAGAAGTAAGAGATTTGAAAATACTTTCGATTTTGAAGTGTCAACTTTGTGATAAATTCCAGAAGATTTGACGTATGCCAGAGTGCTATATCGCAGCAAATTCTGCAGACTGAAGATGGAGAAAAATTATTTAGTTGATGATTTTCAAGAAGCGGAGGAATTATCGAGAAATAAGTTTCTAGAACTAGTGTGCTCAAATAGATGCGGAAATACAAGCCTCCTTCTCCTTCCAAATAATTCCGAATCTAGGAAATTTAAATTGCCTAAAAATTGAGCTTAAAAAATTCAGTGGTGAAGCTAAAGATTACCTGACTTTTTGGAGTCAGTTCCAGAAAATCCACGACGGATACAAAAGTATCGCCTGATGAAGATAAAATGCAGTAGTATCTGTTTGCAGGCCATGGAACCCAAATCGAAGGCAGAACGCCTATTTCTTAGCTTTCCCGGCAACGGCAGCTAATTATCCTAAAGCCATTCGAACAACTAAAAGAGCGCTTTGGACGCGAAGATTTACTTGTGCAAATCTATGTGAGAGACTTGTTAAGCCTAGTGATGAAGAACGCTGTAACCGGAAGAGCAAAAACTGATCTACCCTCCCTGTATGATGAACTAGAAGGAAAATTGCGAGCGTTGGAAAGTTTGGGGAGAACCCAAGAAAAATATGGGGATTTTTTGACCCCCTTAAGTGGAAAGTTGCTTACCAGAAGAAGTACTGATGGCATGGGAAAGAAGCAGAAATCACGACTCCATTGAAACTAAAGGGACTCGATCCTTGCAACATTTAATGAATTTCTTAAAACAGGAAGTTAAGGGAGAAGAGATGGTTCTACTCGCAAGAACTGGTTTCGCTTCCCAACAAGAACCATCGGAAGAAAGACTTTAACCACGAACAGGTAAAGCAAAATGAACCCGTAACAGCGTCAGCTCTAGTAAGTCTTGAGAATTCAGATAAGAGTATTTCAAACTGTAATTTTTGTGAAAAGAAACATTCTAGTGAAAAATGTTACTCAGGCAAAAAAAAATGACTTTAGCTGAAAAACAACAATTGTTGTTGAAAAAAGGTGCTTGTTTTCTTGTCTGAAAAGAGCGAGTCATATTAGTAAATTTTGTCCTTTCAAAGGTTTAAGTTAAGTTGTTCTATTTGCAAAAGTTGTAATCATTTTGATGTAATGTGTAATCAAAAGCTAAAAAAATAATGATCAGATAAATGTTTCAAAAGAGAGTTCTCTTTCTAACTGTAGCAGAAGCGAAACTGTATTTTTGCAAACGCTTTGCGTTCGAATTCGGTGTCAAGGTCGCGAGAAAATTATTCGCTGCATAATTGATAGTGGAAGCCAAAGTAGCTACGTTAGTGAAAATATGATGAGTCAGCTTAAGCATCTCCACTTCGGGAGGAGACAGTTATACATGCACTGTGTTGGGGGGGACGAAACGAAACCTAAACAACATGAAGTGTTTTCGGTCGAGGTCAGCAATTTAAAAGGAACATTCGCATGTAGTTTTGAGGCATTATCGGAAAAAATATTTGCGGTTTTATTCCTAAGGTTAAGGATAAAGAGATTTTGAATGAATTAAAAAAAAAAGAAATCGAATTTTCGGATCCATTGCGAAAGGAAATTGAAAATAACCTTTTAAATCGGAGCAGATGTTATAGGAAAGTTATTGACGGGAAATTCTATTGAATTACAGTCCGGGGTAACGGCTGTCGAAACGAAACTTGGGTGGACGGTATTTGGCAACGAAATTCGGTGAAAAGGATAATATTTTGAAAACATTTTCAATGCATGTCAGGAGAATTCCTCTGAATGAGTTATGGGAACTTGAAAAAAAATAGGAATATGCGCTCCAAACGAAACTGTTAAAATGAATGAAAGTTTTAATTTATCTGAATTTGAGAACAAAATGAAAATTCTTCCAAATGGAAGATATGAAGTAAACTTCCGTGGAAATGTGATACGACACATTTAACCGATAATAAAGAATTATCCTGGAAAAGGTATCAAAGATGATCTATAAACTCAGATGTAGTAAATTTTTCGAAATGATTATCAAAATCTGTTCAAGGAATGGGAAAGGTTGAATATTATTGAATGCGTACCAGAAAACGAACTGAATAATTGAATGTCCATTATTTGCCGCATAGGACCTGTAATCAAATTAGGAAGTGAAACCACGAAAATTCGTCCTGTTTTTGACGCTTCTGCCATCTGAGAAAGGGAAGACTCTCTTTGAACGAATGTTTGTGTAAAGGAATGAATCTTATTGAATTAATACCCTGATATTATAGATCGTTTTAGGAATGTATCCGATTAAGTATTAGTGCCGATATTGAAAAGGCTTTTTTAATGTTATCCGTCGCATCTAAAGATAGAGATTTTCTCATTTTTGAATTTTTTTTTTTCCCATGCAATGAAGAGACAATTAATTTATAGGCATTGCAGAGTTGTGTTTGGAGTTTCTTCGAGCCCCTACTTGTTGAACGCATCTATAATGCATCTATTAGGAAAACTGTCCACGTCAAGTATAGTGAAGTTGCTCAAAAATTGAAAATCGTCATTTTTTATGTGGATAATTGTTTATCTAGTATCTTTGTTTTTTAGTATTGATGAACAGTTTACTGTTTATTGAACATTCCAAATTAATCATGTCAAATGGATGTTTTAACCTTGCGCGGTTTTGAAAGCAATGTGGCAATGTGGACAGCATGTTGACAAAAACATTCAGGGGATACTTCCGTTTTGGGGGTAATTTGGAATTTGGATAATGATACGCTGAGGTGCTGCACAGACACAGATACATTGACCTGTGATACAAAAATCACAAAGAGGACAATTTTGGCAATTGTGCAGACAATTTTTGATCCTATTGGTTTAATAACGCCAACTACATTGCTTCCAAAACTGTTGTTGCAAAAATTGTGGAAAGTGAAAATTGCATGGGATGATGAATTGTCTCCGAATGATGTAAATATATTTTTGAACTGGTTTAAAGAACTTAATGTTTTGAAAGATGTTACTTTGCCTCGATACTTGTTTATCAATGACACGTCTGAACTACATGTATTTGTGGATGCTTGCAAGGGGGCGTATGCAGCGTGCGTCTTTGTTCGATCAATATTTAATTCTGAAAGTAAAAATAAATCTCGTACGGGCGAAGTCTAGAGTATCGCCTTTGAAATCTTTAAGCATTCCTCGCTTAGAATTAATGGCCTGTTGTATAGGTTCTAGACTTGCAAATTCTATTATCAAAGCTCTCAGTTTGCCCGATTTAAAAGTTACCTTCTGGTCTGATTCAACCACTGCCCTTGGTGGATAACAGAGCAAGGAAATTGGTCCGTTTTCGTCGAAAATAGGGTTAAAGAGATTCGAAGAGTTGACGCGAGGTCATTCATGGAGACATATCCCAGGGAAACTAAATATTGCCGACTTGTTGTCGCGCGGATGTTTTGCGAAGCAAATGCTTTCGGTCTAGATGGTGGGAAGGCCCTTGTGGTTGCGAGAAAGCCCTGAAAACTGGCCCACTGGTGAGATTATTTATTTGCATGAAGAAGTAGAATTGGAGAGGAAAAAGATAAAAAAGAGTGAATATTGATCTATCAAAAGACGCACCCCCTTGGCATCGAATCAGTGTATCCAATTATGACAAAATGATTAGAGTATTTGCATGGATATTTAGATTTGTAAATAATTGTAAAGGTGGTTCTGAAAAGAATGGAAAAGATTGAACTTTCACAGTATGAAATTGAAAATTCTGAGAAAAATTTAATTCGTTTTTGGTTCAAAATTATTATCTGACTGATAAGAAATCTTATAATTTTATTGAAACGCTCATTGATGATGATGGTATTCTCAGAGTTAAAACGAGAATACTAAATAGAGATGACCTATGAATCTTTTCTGTATCCAATACTGTTACCAGAAAAATGTGATTTTACTAAGTTATTAATCAGAAATGTACATAATAAGAACTGTCATGCTGGTCTTCAGATGATGCAATGCATATTACGAGAAAGATTTTGGATAGTCAGAGCTAGAAAGGCCATTAAAAATGTCCTCTTTAACTGTATCGTTTTGTAAAAGATTTAAAACTAAGGCCATGTCAAGCGAACCGACACCTCTGCCGCCAGACCGAGTTACGGATTGTGCGCCATTTGAAATCATAGGGATTGATTTGGCCTGGACCGCTGTTTTTAAAAAAATGGAGGAAAGGTGTGGATCGCGCTGTTCACCTGCGCTTGTGTACCGTGCCATTCACCTTGAACTCGTAAATTCTCTTTTCTACTGATGCGTTTCTCCTGGCGCTTCGACGATTTGTTGCTAGGCGCGGACGCCCTAGAATAATCTATAGTGATAACGGGACAAATTTTCGGGGGGTGCGTCTAATGATTTATCAAAACTAAATTGGACTAAAGTAGTAAAGGAAACGGGAACTGAAAGTATAATCTGGAAATTTATTCCACCTACTGCAGCTTGGTGGGGTGGCTGGTGGGAGAGGTTGGTTCGTACAGTAAAAGAATTGTTAAAACGTACTTTAGGTAAAACAGTGTTATCATC